TTTATTTTTATTGCTTTTTTTGTTTTTTGTTTTTTGAGGGGGGAGGTGGTCTCCCAGCGTCAATCAGTTAAACATTACATGGCTGTGAGCCAGCTTCTATTATATAATCAGCTTGTGAGGTAGATGCATTGTGCTTATGTGCTTTATTTTATGCTTAAATTACTTGAATATATTTTACCACACTTCTATCTGAAAAGCAAACGATGATTTGCTGTGTAAAGCTTAAAACTAAAACATAAAAGATCAAATGCTGCTTTCGCATGAATGATAATTCATGATAACACTGTTATCTGCCTTTCAAACTTAAATCTGCTTTTCCTTTAAAAAAAATCACGTATCCTGTCCCACTACTACTGTCCAACGCTTTACATTATTAGCGTTATGTATTCACAAAAATATGACGAAAACCGGCAGAGAGGGGAAACTCTTGAATTTTATAAAAGCCGTTTATAAATGATGGTAATTACTTAATTATGTATTTGTCAGAGGTCTCGTCTCATTATTAAATTCCCCCCACTCAGATTGGCACCTGTTAAAATATTTTATAAAGAAGCCGATGACCTCGATCACCTGACTTTTTTTTTTTTTCCAAAACCAATAGGAACAAAGTACACCCCACTAAAACAGTCAAGTATCACTAACTGTGCTATATTTCCCTGTGATGCCCTGGTGAGTCCTGACGGAGCACATGTGCACTCTCGGCTCTTTGCGCACTGAGTTTTGGGACGTGTTCTTTCTCCTGTCACACCTGTTGACCGCGGCGCAAATCCCCGACACCTCTGAGCGGCTTTGTGGATTTAAAAAACAAAAAACAAAAAACAAAAACACAACTCACCGATAATTTTCTCCTGGTAGCCTTTAGTGAAGAACTGCATGGCCGTGGCAGCCCTCCAGGGGGTTTTGAGGAGTCCCTGCCGCTGCGGGTTCTCCCCGAGACCCCGCAGGATGGTGGTGTAGGCAGCGGCCAGGGACGGCAAGCTCATCTCGTTGTCCTCCAGGCTCCTGGTGCGCTCCTCCTTCCAGCTCTCCATCACAGCGGAGGTCGACCGGTGCGGAGCGGATTCTGCTGCCGGTGCCTGAGGACCGCCGGCTGCCCGCTTCACCATCCCGTCAAAGTGGCCGTTGAGCACGGAGCCGCCGTCCCCATTGTCCTTCTTCTCGTTTGAGCTGTACTTGTTCTGCTTGGAGCGGTCCATCGCTGCGGTTCTCTTGCCTTCTTAGTTGAGCACTTGTTGCATCAGTTTCTGACGGGTACTTCTGTTTGCGTTCAAGTGGGCGACACGGTTGCAGCCTCAGCATCCTTTATAACAGCAGGATAATCCAGAGCGAGCTCCTATTGGCTAGCCAGATCTGAAGGGGCGGGGCCAGACCCCCTTTGACCGCTATCTGCTTTGACTGTGACCTGCTGCTTGGAATCATTCTGCAGTTTGTGGAAGGTAACAAAGTGCATTCAGTGTGTTTATTACTATGGCCGGATTACATAACAGCGACCACTGACCTCTCTTAGATAGGAGCACGGTTCTAACTGTGCTGCTTACAGTCCTTCATCTCTTCAATCATACATGTATCAGTGTCTGAGTATATTAAAAAGCCTTTCGCCAATCTTCGTTTTCTTTTTCGAGTATCTGTTGATTTTGTTTTTTCTTTAGACTTTTAAAACACAGGCTCAGGAGGGCTGTGAGGCACTCTCTGCACCACTGTTGGGGATATGTTATTGCCAAGTAATAAGTACGTAATAGTGCACTAGTTTTCCTTTTCAAACAGACTGTATATAAAAGATGCCTGTAGCCACTGTGCTATGCTGTCCTGAGTGTTTTTATAGTCGCCTCTTCACACATCGAATGAGGGGTGGTTCTGTAAAACCAAGAACTCAAGCTCACTGATTAATAACTTCTTTAGTCACTGCCGCTGCCCCCGGGTATACCCTGGTTTGTCCTCCATTCTGATTCTAATATTGACAAAAGTTTTCAAAATGAACTAAAACACTGAATCCAAACGTTTCCTGAGCTCACAGAGCTAGGGAGCCAAAGACCATTTCTCTGACTTCGACAAAGAGAAGCCTTTGTGCACATCCACAGCACTTCTGAGACTCTAAAGCCACATCCATCTTTTAAGTACAGTCTTTTCATTTAGTCATTTCAAATTAGGAGTCATTTTGTTTAATTAGAATTACCACATGTTAGTAAGCTGGCATAGAGTACAGCCTCTGTATCTTTGAAAGTATTTTCATTATGTCTTCATGGAAAAAGCAAAAAAAACAACAAAAACAAAACCCAGAAGAACGCCACTTTAGATTTCATCATAAACCCACAATGCTTAGGGAAGCTTTAAATGTAGCAATAGTTTGCCTAAGCTGTCACTCAGCAAGAAATTAACAGGGTTGTTGCTGGTTATGTCACAAAAGGGATACCGCCGAGCACCTTCACAGAGAGCTAAAGTCAGTATATTCAAATGCAGAGGTAAGGTAGGCCCTCAAACTTAGAAATCCTCTTTTGATATTTGAATTGATTAATAAGCTGTACAAAATGAAATCACAGACTAACATGTGAACTAACAAACATTTACATTTATTAAATTGTTAAAATACAGTAAGTGTAAAAAACAAACAAACAAAGAAAAAAAAGAAGAACCAAGCGTACATTTTTACTGAACATCACTCATCCGTCTCCAACACTGAGGGCAGTTGTTGATATACATGTGATCTCCGTCCACTGGAGGTTTAGTTTTGGTTAAACGCAAACACTGAAAGCTTGGAAGAGGGATCCAAAGACTTCTTCTTCTTGGCACTACTTTCATCAGCTTCGGCCTTTTCATTTTCATTTTCCACGCCTTCTCCTCCTTCTGCTCTTTTCCTCTTCTTCAGATCTGCTGCGTCTCCGCTCTGGCCTTTAGCTCTTTCTGTCCATGACTAAAAGAGGGGGGGGGGATAAAATAGACAAGGACCGCACATGTTAATTACTGCACATTACAAAAACAAAAAATTGTATTGCTGTCTCTATACAGGCTCCAAACCACCTACGTGATGATGACGAAACGCACACATGGGCACTCGGGCGTGCAGTTTGAAATTGCATCCTGTCACGTATAATCACTATTGACAGCATGCATCTCTTTGGCCTGCTGGCTCTTTCCCTCCTCGAGCCCCCTCCTTTTCTCTAAGCCGACACAAAAGGAAGCGCTTTTCTGGACGTAATGGAGCCAGGATGAATCATCAGGCCTGGTGTGTGCAGTGCCAGCAACACACACGCACACACACTCTACACCTCCAGTGCTTAATGAAACACTGTCATTAACCCATGTATATTCACACAAGCAAACACATACACAAATGGCACCATTACAGAGCTGGTAGGTGGTGCAAGCTTTGACATATCACTAATCAGCTGCTGCTTTATTGAATATGGACTGAATAATTTTATCAACACACACTCGCACACACACAGACACACACAATGGTCGAGCCGTTTTAGGCTAAAGTTAAGCCTGCAGGGCCATCACCTAGGTTCTTTTTCTGTAAACATACAGCTGAAATGCACTTATACAAGCTAATAAAAATCATATCAACTCCTTTGGTTCAAACTTGAAAGAAAATTTCATTTTTTTAAAAATGTGAATGTTTAAATAAAATAACTGGCAGGTATGAAATGTCTTGTTCATGCTGACCATATTTTCCTCTGGCACTGGTCAATATTTCTTTTTGTTGTCTGACTAATTTTAGCTAATACGGTCAAACGCTAACTAATGTGGTCAGCGGCTAGCCCGCTAACTTTAGCTTTGGGGCTCGCTAACCCTGTTGCAAACAAAATACCATGTTAACCCACAGCTACAGTCTGTGTTGTGTTGGGAGCCGGTTGTTTTTTGACATTTGTGGTAAGTGGACTTTTCTAAGCTACTGTTAGCTAGTTTTGCTCACTGTTGACACTGTGAGCTTAATGGTTTCTTTATGGTCACTGCATCTTTTGTGTCAGGTGCCAACTGTGATGTCACTACAGCTACCGGTCTATACTGGTGCTCACTTGTGCCGGATATGCTTCAGTCTTCTCCTGAACGGTAGATGTTGCTTCTCAGCAAAAAACAAAAAACAAAAAACAAAACACACCCCCCCCTTAAGTATCAATGAGGTAGAAACAAGAAACAAAGATATTGCGTTTTTTTTTTTTAAAGTTTTCTACAGTTAGTCTCATCTTTTCAAACTGTTGCAGCTGTGTTTGTTGGTGTCAAACGGGCTGGCCCAAGTACTTCAGAAACTGCTGATCTGCAGTTTTCCTGAACAACCATCTCTAGCGTTCAAAGAGAATGGTGTGAAAAACAGAAAATATCCAACAATATTCAGCTAAGAACAAGAAAGTGTGCAATTTCACACATGCTTGCCAAAAGAGGACTGGTGGATTGGAAAAACACTGCCTGGTCTGAATGAGTCTCAATTTCTGCTGCATGCTAGGGTCAAAATTTGACAGGAAGAACAAGAGAGTGTGGATATAACCCACCCAGTATTTAAACAGTTTAGACTGGTTACAATCGTGGTGTTCCGCTGTAGGAATATTTTCTTGGCACACTCTGGGGTCGCTTTGTATTAACTCAGAATCATTTAAACTCCGCAGCCTACACGAGCATTGTGGCTGGCCATGTCCATCCCTTTATAACCACAGTGTTTTTCTAATATGACTACATCATTTTCTGATGACTACATCTGGCAACGTAACTTATCATGTCGCAAAGCTCAGATCATATTAAACTGGTTTCTTGAACATGGCAATGACTCTAATGATCTTGCATGGCCTCAATCTAACAGAGCACCTTTTGAATGTGGTGGAAACTGGAATGTGCATCATGGGTGTGCAGCAGACACTCTGGATTCATCTTTCAGAACAGCTGAAAATTCGGATCAGAATTATGCTCCTGCTGATTGACCAGCCGATCGTCTCTCATGCATCAATGCTTTGCGCCCTCAGTGCCCAAACACACTTGACTGGGCTCCCAGGCAACAGGCATCCCCTCACCCCCACTTCCTCGTCATCCAGCTTTCTGCTGAGAGTCTTGATGTATGCAGGGTCAGGGCCAGTGTACCACAGAAGCACTCGGCTGGATGAAAGGACGAGGCGTGTCATTAGTGGCACAACCACCCTCATTCACTCACCTATTGACTGACCACAGCTGAGACACAGCATTTCAGAGAAAAGTGGTTAAAACCAAGCCCTGGATTTCTTTTTTTTTTTTGTTAATGTGACCCTGCAGGACTCTAATGACAGTACAACTTAATCGAGTGATTTTAAACTTTTGAATACATTTCTTTATATCTAGGAATCTACTTATCTATTTTATTCAAATCTGTAGACCTGCAGTCATTTTTAAAAATAAAAAGCTTCAGCAGGTTGGACAGCTCAAGCGGTACTGATGAGACTATTCGAAGCAGTTATGCTGGTTAGACTAGTGATGGGTGAGTTTTCAGATGATCTGTTGCTGGGAAGCGGTACAACTAGCTCCCATGTTCTCAGCTTCTCATTAAAATGCGAAAAACATTTCAGTGCTTGGGAGGAAGAGAAGAGTACACGTATGGATACATTTCTCATTTGATGTGAAAAAAAATAAGACACTTTGTAAACAGTGTGGAGCAGCTATCAGCACAACACACTCTTACATTTTATATGTTATTCACCTGAACCAATTTCAGATCGAGTTTACTATAATTTTATGATATTTTCTCAACTGAAACTAGACTAAAGCTAAAAGAATTTAGATGGTTAAATTATGAGTAACACTAAATTCTAATTTGCTGAACACGTGACCATCTTTGATTTCTGAATGGGAATCAGCTTGGACTAGAAATATGGCCAAAAGCTGAAGTCAGCTTATGAAAACTGCAAATTGTGCACACCCACGTAAAACTTTAAAGAATCCTTACAAGCGGAGGGCTGAAAATGGGATTCTCTGCATTTACAATTTCAGCTGGGTTACTGAAATTATAGACAAGGGTGTCAACGGGGGCTCCGTGGGTTGAGGATCAACCTGCCAAAGACTCCAATCACTGGACAGCTTTCGAAATTTTTGACATCACTGTTTTAGCAACCCCCCTCCTCTCTAAAACCCTCGATGTGTTATACCAGTCTCTCCTCCGCCGACAGCGTCCTGAAGCGTCCCATAGCCTCCTTGATGACGTCGGTCTCTTCCAGGTCAGGGTTGTCGGCTAGGATACTTTTCCTGTTCTCCTCCAACCAAAGCTGGAAGCCTGTCTTTGGCCTAAATGCACAGAGAAAGCGAGAAATACTGCCCTGTTTAAAAACGCTCTACATGTAGAATCTGTTTTTGAACATCCCAGTGTTCGAAGGGTCTAACCGTTTCTTTCTTTGAAATCTTTTACCTCTTGTTTTCAGAGTTATCTGCAGGTGGTCCTGGAGGCGGGGTGTCTGGTTGTTTCTGCAGATTTGCAGCTTGCTCTGTATTCTCCTGAACCTTCTTATTAGCTGTCTTTGTGGCAGCCATCTGCAGCAGAGTAGACTGAGTCTTCACAGGAAAAAAAGGACATTTTATTGTTTTGAAAGATGCATTATCTTTTCCAGGTACTATCATTTTGAGACCTCGGCACAGCTATGTGGAGACATGCTACAGCTTTAAATTCTGAGACGGTACCTTGGTTTTTGGCTTGGGGGCCAGAGGTTTGAGGATGGGACTTTTACTGGGTTTCCCCCCAGAGCTGCTGAGCTGAGCTGACTTCTTGCTGGACGTCATGTTGTCCAGGATGTTTGTTACTCGCGGCTGACCAGATGAAGCTGACATTTTCCCCGAACCAGGAACCTGAACACACCAAAGCAATAACAAAATTTAAAGAAATATCTTAAAGATATTGTATATATTCCTTATAGTCAACAAATCACATGAAAAACAGCAACAACAAAAACAGTGCGTTTCTTCTTCTTCTTTGCCACTGACTCCAAGGTGACTGAGCCACACCCGGTGGCTTACCAGGTACTTTATTAAGAAGAAAGCCTGTATATAAAAGATGGAGGCAGGAAAGTGATTTCACCCATCGTTTTAGTTTTTATACTGTACTTAACTGAGCCTTGAAGGCTAGCCAATACTTAAACCCTGCCTTAGTGTTTATCTCACTAAAAAGAGAAGGAAAGAGAAGTCAGTGTACAATGGGGTAGCTTTCTTACAGAGTTGTGTACAGATCTTTTTGCAACCCGAGTCAGCTCCTGCTGGCCAACAGAGGCTGCTGTTCAGACTCCACACGGTGCATTTAAAAGCAGCTCCACAGACAGACAGGAGAGATGAAAGTGATATCTGAGGAATAAGCTAAACCTTCTTAAGAACCACTTCTCTCTCTTTAAACCTCTTACAGTCTTTATTCATATTCAAAACCAAAAGAGTGCGTTGTCTTTTATTAATGGCTAAACATCAAAAAATGACTAAAAGCCTTTTTCCATTAGTACCTACTCGGATTGGCTTGAGCGAGTGGACTTGTTTTCTATTACAATCGAGTGCTACCTAATGTGTGTGGGGTCGCTATAGCAACACGGCCGAAAGTCCTGTGACATCATCTGTGTACACCACAAATGCCACAACAAAGGAGTTGGCAGTCTCATAAGACCTCATCAGATCGCCTGGAACCCCGGCCAAGCATGTTGTAAAAAAAAAAGCACCTGGTACCGAGTCGCGTAGGTAATATTGGAAAAGGGCTATAATGAGACCACATCCTTGATTTTGACGAAATTAAAATCTAAGAAGTCACAGTTCTTACCTTAAAAGGATTTGCACGTCCCATTTTACCAACTGAAAAACAAGAGACACATTGGGAAGTGATTCAGATAAAACTGGCTGACCAAATTCTTCATTCAACACCTAATAACAGGTCTTGTTTCATATTTGAATATTAAAATGGGCTTGGGTGATGGGAGCGGCTGTCCCACTTTAATCTTACTCTGAAAACCTTCCAACAACTGACAAAGACTTGAAATGAAATCAAACCCAGCTAAAACTCCACTGACAGAGACACCACAAGTGTACAACATGAGGAGGACAGTACATGGCCATTGGGTTATTTGTCCTGCATCACGCTAAAGTGACTCACCATAATACTGAACATCTGAGCTGACTGACAGATATGCGTTTACTCACTTGGTGTCGGAGACGGCTTGATGGGTGAGCCGGCTTCTTTAGCAAACGGGTTCACACCTGACAGACATGGAGGAGGCGTGTTAGCATGTTAGCAGCAGCACTGGCAACTTGTGCAAAGTAAGAGGTGGAACTGACGTTTTTTTGTTTCTGTCGCCTCTTCCGGCTCCATCTCCTGTCTGTCCTCTTCCTCCATGAGCTCTTCTCCTCTTTCCTCCTCATCCTCTTGCTCCTCCTGCTGATTCTGTCTTCTGCTGTAACGTCCTCCCGCTGTGACGTCGGTGTGGCCATACCTGTGCAAAAAGAGAGCGAATACTGCTATTTTTAATCTGTTTGTAAACTATAAAATAAATTGGAGGAGACTGATGAAGGTTTTACACTTAAAATGCTGCAATAAATGTTACATGGTTGATATTTGTTCTTCCTTCATCCATATAAAAATAACATATAAATAACCTATTTAAAAAAAGTGTTTAAGGTTTCACATCATAAAAGAGCTCTGCTTTTTTTCCTTCTCTCACCCCAACCGGTCGCAGCAGATGGCCCCGCCCCTCCCTGAGCCTGGTTCTGCCGGAGGTTTCTTCCTGCTAAAAGGGAGTTTTTCCTTCCGACTGTCGTACAAAGTACTTGCTCATAAGGGGTCATATGATTGTTGGGTTTTTCCTCTGTATCAATTATGTACGATCTACTGTACAATATAAAGCGCCTTGAGGCGACTGTTGTAGTGGTGAATTGCTTTTTTAACCAAGTAACCATCTCGTTGAAGAACATGTATCAGCTGACCTGCTTTGATAAAGATAATTTTATTGAAATGACACACTCCTTGTGTGGTATCTATGCTGCGCTCAGCGGTGACGTGAAGTCGTCTGACACTGCTATAGGGTAGTCACCCATAAAGGGTGAGGTTTGTTATTTTGGCCAAAGCCAGACAGTCCAGATTAATTTACACAAACAGTGAAAGTGATGCATGCTTTTTGACATTACCCAGAGCTCCGTCTCGTGCTGGAGCATTCAGGCTCCTCTTGCTCGTCTTCCTGCATCTGGTTGGATTTCTCCAGAGCAATCTCACTGAGCCGCTGTGCGAGGGCCATGCGTCTGGATCGGGATGCGTATCGTATGGCCAGAGTCACCACATTCTGGGTCATCATCTCTGCCAGCTCCACACAGCGAAACTCTCGCTCCAGTTTGCAGGACAACTGTAAGAAAACAGCAACTCTAAACAAATCTGTACTTTGGGAGTGTCTCGATCACCAAGTGTTTGCAGCGTTCACACTTACTGCAAACATCTTCATGAGCAGCTCCTGCTGCTCCTTCTGGGACTGATTCTCAGCGTCTTCATCTATTTCGTAGCCGCTGGAGGACAGGAAGCTGTAGTGGTCGTGGAAAAGGACCGAACGCCAGAACTGCTCCTGAATAACAGCGGAGGATAGGCTCAGCTGTTACTGGATCCATGACACCACTGAGCCACCTGAAAAGATCTGAGGACTGGATTATTTCGATAACCCATTGTCCAGGTGCTCATTCTTGTGTTTATTTACCTCCATCTGCCCCTTCTCTGTTGTGGTCTGACACAGGGGCAGCTTGAAGGGTAGGATGGCCACGGCCGGTCTGGGCAGGGTGGGAGGATACCTGGAGCCTTTACATGGAATACACCTAACAGGACGAGGACAGAAGGAATGTCAGCCTCTAAGAAGCAATAATTAACCAGCATCGAGTATCGGCTCATATGCACTGAATGCATTAGTTTAGTCAGTCACCACTCAGTCACTTTTTATTTCCTGTTCAAACTGCTAAATCAACGAGCTGTGATGCAGATGAAAGCTCACCTGAGCTGCTGAGGGTTCTCGTGCACTCCAACCACCCAGTAGTGATCTGATTTGCTCTTGCAGGTCTCCCTGGTGTTGCACACTGGAGTCCATGTGTTGCCCAGGGAGCGGTTCAGCATTCGCACCACGCCGTCTGAATCCACATAGCACGGGGTACCTGAAAAACCACGAGATGTATTCCAGGACAGGTTGTTCCAAATCATCACCAGCAGCAAAGTAATGATGCTTCCCATGAGATTCTTTCACATTATAATATCTTGACATACTGACCCTCGGCTGTGAAGCCGAGCCAAGACAAGTACGATTTTTGAGAGAGGGGGAGGGGTTCGCCACTGATGAGTTGCCTCCTCTTTCGACTTAACTGCAGCAGCTGGACACCCAGAGCCTGTTCTCCATCGAAACCTGTAGCTGGTGGTGGAAAACGAGACACATGTAAAGAGCTGGAAGATAACACTGCAAACTGCAGTACTTCTATTTGGAGAGAGTGGAAATTTCCAGATCACAGCTTAAGAGTGGGGGGTTGCCTTTACTCTCATCTCTTGTGCTGCACATTTTACATTTACACTCTGTGGTGACTCCATGTGGTGGAAAGTAAACTGAATGAACGGAACTGACATGCAACAATGACACACCGACAGTTACATCACAAAGCTAAGAATAAATAAATAATTCCTAATTTTATTTTTGAACCATACAAGCACATGCAATGTGCTGATTATCACAGAAGAGTGTGTGTGTCTCTAACCCCGATGGTAGACGACGAGCAGCTGCTCTCCATGTCCTGCCATGCAGACCACAGGCCCTGGCAGGCTGAACAATTCTCTCTGTACTCCTCCGATGGAGAAGAGCCTGATCATCAGCGTGCTGGTGGCGACTGCTGCCCAGCCTTGACCCAGACAAAGCGCCCTCACGTCCTCCCCTTTAGGAAGGTCGACCATCCACTCCTTATTGGTGTCCCACGAGGAGAAGTGAAGGCACTGCAGCTTACTGGAGAGAGAGAGGGGGAAAATACTGAAAGGGGAGAAATAAATAAATAAATCCCCAGAAGCAGGTCAGGTGGAAGTTTTACCTAGCGAGCTCTTCTGTGCTGGGGCAGGCCAGCAGCACGGCCTCCTGGGAGAGATCAGCCACGGTGTGACCCAGTGAGTTGGTGAGGTGCATGGCGTGGTGCACGGCCGTGTCGTGAAACTCCACATCGATGGCGTTGTCCTGCTCGTCGTTGTAGCCTCGCACTATACCCACGGAGTTCCACATCTGAGGCACAGTTTGCTCTTATGACATGCGAGCAACTCAGATTTACAGTGTAATGACTCTCAGTGTGTCCTACCATGAAGCGGTGTGTGAGATGTGCAGGGGTGGAGCCCGGCTGGAAGGCTTTCTGGGGAGGAGTTGGCACGGGCCCCTCGTAGACAGGACGCAGGGGCACCACTGGGGCTGCTGCAGGCGCCACAGAACTGCCTGCGTCATTGTCGTCGTCGTCCCCCAATTTGTCCTGACCAAGCTTCAGTGATCCTGTGTCTGAATGAAAAAAACAAAAAAATAAATGGAGTAATTTCAGGTGATGTCTCCATTCATGTGCGATGTATGCTGAGACATGCAGCGATGATCACAGTTTCACTTCTTCTAAAATCTGAACACCTTGTAACTTTAATCACCTAATTATTTTTTTCCCCCATAGATTAACATTACCAGTTAAAGACCGCAATAGGCTAACCTGCACAAAGACAAACTTCACTGCCTTCTCCACTAGATAGTGCTGACTTTAGGAAACATTTGCTTTGCTTATAATGATGACAAACATAACGATAATTAACAGGTTAAACATTGACTGCAGGTGGTGGAAATTCATGCAAACAGTTGTAACTGTGCCTCTTGAGCCTGAAATCCAAGTTCATGCTACAGACTTTCTGATCAAAAGTCAAATAAAAACTCTAAACACTTGTTTTGATGTTGAACTTTTGCAATTGAGCTCTTTAGTTAGGATTTTTTTTTTGCTTCTTTCACAAAGTCGAATCTGTTTTTTTCTGCACACAGAAAAGCTTTTAGCCTTCCCTTCGCAAGAATTTCTAATTTCCTAATCTCGATCTTTGAACGTTGCGTTTCCTGTGTTTTGTAATACACTTTCAATTATTTCTGACATTTTAAGGAACAAACTATTGCTCGAGAACATAACTGCAAGATCAATCAATGATGAAAATAATAGTTAGGTACAGCAGGAGTTTGTGATGGCCAGAGCACCTCGCTTTTATCTTCCATCTGTATTCGCCCCCTCAATGACCCCATCTTCACCCACCTAATGAGTTCTCGTCATCCAGGAACGCTCCTCTGTTCTTCACCCGCCCAGTCGCAGGCACCAGGAAATCGTCATCGTCATCGTCCCAGCCAACGGCTTTCTTAGCTGGAGACTTTGTGTCACTCAGTCCTTCATCCATCAGTCTGTCATCGTCATCATCAAACAGGTCATCATAGTCTTTTGCAGGATTTTTTGCAGCGACCTGCTGAATGTCCATGACAGATTTAAGCAGCTTGAATTTAACTGAACAAAAGAAAAAAAAGGGAGACTTTGAAGCTGGGCGTGTTTACAGTTGTGTTATGAACTAACCGCAAACAACGCTCAACTGGTTATAAATGCAATCCGGTAACTTAATCTATGGACGCTGTTGTTCCTGAACAAAGAATATGCAATAACACTAAAAGGCATTAAAAAACTCTGGGGCCTCTGGATGTCTGGGGCCTGGATCTCCTCCAGACCTGCTTCATGCCCTGGAGGACGGGGCTGTGGCTCCCCACACTCCCTAGCAGATCGCCACATGGAGAAACCTTTGGAATACAAGCATGCTGATCCACACAGGTGTACACTCGGGTGTTCACAGACGCGGACTACAGCTTTCTTGGCTGCTGCCTCAAAGCACATTGTGCGCTGTCTATCTTGCGTGCTGCACAATATCGTTTAATATTTAGTATCTACTGTTATCTACTGCTAGCTAGTTTATTGTGATGGTGCTGTATTTATTATGTTGCTCTTTTTTATTTGTTTTCTCTTCTGGGTTTTTTTTCTCCACACAGGTGATCCAGGTGTTTTGTTTGTTTTTCTTTCTTTCTTCCCCCCTTTCTCACCGTCTCTTCTCCCCTCTGTTTTTCTTTCTCTCCTTCTCTTTCTTTCATTCTTTCTCCCTGTCCTATCCCCCAGATGTGAGTGAACGCCTAATCTCTAAGGCTAAACCCTACATACCACACAAAGATATGGAGAAACTCATTCATGCTTTCATTACGTCAAGACTGGACTATTGTAACTCACTCTACTTGGGTCTACAATCTTCTCTTCTGCAGCGTCTGCAGCTGGTCCAGAATGCCGCAGCACATCTCTTGACCGGCACTAGAAAGTTTGACTCTATCACCCCTGTTCTGAAAAATTTACACTGGCTTCCTATCAAATTGATTTTAAAATTCTATTGTTTACTTATAAAATTTTAAACAATATGGCACCTGACTACTTAGCTGATCTCCTCTGTCTGTACAGCCCTCAGAGAGCACTAAGATCATCGGGCCAACTGCTCTTGGTGCAACCTAGGTCTCGGCTGAAGACCAGAGGAGACCGTGCCTTTGCCGTTGCTGCACCCAGGCTATGGAATACTCTCGCTCTTCATATTCGCGCGTCAGATTCCATTCAGTCTTTTAAATCACGTTTAAAAACGTATTTGTTTGATCTGGCATTTAAGGCGAATTAGGGTAATTTACATCTGGCTCTGTATTTAGATTATGTAATTATCTTATATTTATATTTTAGTGTGATTTTATTTGTACTGCGATTTTACTGGAAAGCACTTTGGTGTACTTCGGTCTTAAAAATGTGCTATATAAATAAATTTTGATTGATTGATTGATTGAAGTTACCCCCCCACCTTCTTCAAATCCAACAAAAGTGGTATCAAACGTTTGTGCTACGTTTGTGCTGGTTTGTGCTGCAAAAATGTTTGTTTGTGCTGCTAACATTTTAAAATTTTTAATAAAATAACGTCTTGATGTGTGCTTAATCATCCAGGTAAGTAAATCCCAAAAGGTTCATTCTGTTCATCTGGACATTTTCAGTTGGAGAAATGTTTCGTCACTCATCCAAGTGACTTCTTCAGTCTCAGCTG